ATAGATATGATATAGGTTTGATATAGGTTTGATATAGGTTTGATATAGGTTGAATATAAGTTGGATATAGGTTGAATATAAGTTGGATATGGGTTGAATATAGGTTGGATATAGGTTGAATATAGGTTGGATATAGGTTGGATATAGGTTGGATAGAGGCTTAATATAGATTTGATATAGGTTTGATAACCGTGCCATTAATGGATTTCGACCTTCTACCCGGTTCCAATTTATTTGGTACGAATTTCGATTTAAAGATAGATAAATAGATAGGTAGCATTCAAATTGATTAATGACAAATGATGTGTGATGAAACCTCACTAAACTAATAGAGGAATCGATTTCCATTTAATCTTTTTTACATCGTACGAGGGAATACGAAGGAGGGACAAATTAAAGGAAAGTCCGGACCAGTCAATTCATATACATATTACCACGTGATTACTAAGATAACATACGAAGTTTAATTAATGTTAATAAATATATTTTTGGTCTCCCGACATTCTTTTGATCAAATTACGTATTAACAATGGATATAATAAACGGCTCGAGCAACACTAATTCCCTAAAAGTAAATTCCCTAAAAGTAAATTCCCTAAAAGTAAGTAGACAATCTATAATTGCATCTAACCCTTTAAAGTCAACGGTTTATAGTAGATATTAAAGCAAATCTTAAAGCAATCGTTAAACATTATTAAAGAAAACATTAAGTGAATGTTAAGGTAAATGTTAAGGTAAATGTTAAGGTAAACGCTAAGATAAAGGTTAAAGTAAACGATAAAGTAAACGTGGTTGATATAATGCAACATTAAACAGTTATTTGCTCTAAAAAGAAAACCAATTCCCAGGGACATTAATTAAAGCTCCGGCTTAGTCGGGTAGTTAGTGGGCATTGATTTAACTATATACTTAGTAAAATTTTAACTATTAGAAAAATGCGCCAAAGATCACTGATTATATCAATTGTCAGTTATGCGTCATAATTGATATATAATTGATATTTAAGAAGCTTAACACTCTTTAGAATTTAGTTCTCGAGAGCGAAGTCAAAAATTTTATAATTTCATTATATTTATTAATTCAAAAATGATAAATGTAGTCAATTTATTATTACGGCAACATAAATAAATCAGCATGTCTATAACGTATTAAACATTTTCATTAGCAATTATCCATTTGCGGATATATTGTTGTTTATATTGCCATTCTAATGCGATATTCTTTTTATTTGACGCCCGTTTATTCTAATTTATCTAATTTATTATATTTGTATCACTTTTAGTCTACACGTCTCTCTATTAAAAAAATCCTTATATTCAAAATATCATTGTTGAAGATTTACTGGTGTACTCTCTTCTATATCCCCTAAATTTTTTCATGCCATATCATTAATTATCAATTAATTATAAGTATTCAGGAAAAAAGAAGAAAGAGAACACTGGTTTATTGTTTGCTGGTCTCGGTCGTTACTTCTAAAAAAAAAAGAAAAAAAAAAAAAAAAACGCGAGAAGTAGCTACCTGTCAACTTCAAACAAATCTTTAATCTTAGTAAATCCTATTTTTAACGAATGTAACTTTCCCTTATTAATTATTTAGTTCCTTATAACCTATAACCTTTCTCAAAGTTATTTTATATACTCAGAAATTATTGTTGTGAGCGAGTCTCACCCCCCTTTTCTGTAGGAGAGCCTTTGTCAACCCTCAAGGTTTTGACAATCGTTAAAAAAAAACTATTCTAATTAAAAACATTAATAACAAAGAAGTTATCTTTATAAATCTTGGTACCTGACGAATAATAAAGTAACCACTTAAGCTCGTAAAAAGAAATTCTTTTGAATTTTTTATGAATTATATATAAAAGATAGTGTAAAAAAAAATGTCTGGTAAACCTCGGCCCCCTCTTCCTTTAACACCCGACCAAAAACAACAAATTGCTCAAGATCGAAATCAAAATGTAGTTGGAAAAAATGGTGACAATACGGATGAATATACTCCTAATAAATTCTATAATGATGATGGATTATCTAGGACTTCCGAACGAAGAGATCAACCACAAAGACGGCGGAGTGATAATCGTTCACGTCAATACCAACAATATGCTCAATACGCTCAAAATATTACTGCATCACCTCAAGATTCAAATCAGTCTCCTCAAAATTTTGTTGAACAGGATGGTCAAGTCATTAACAATGATGTAGAGGAAGAAGATAATGAAAATGAAAATGAAGAAAATTCGGATTTCTTTCAAACTGCTTTTCGACCCACAACTGGTGATAATCATACCAGTTTTTATAAACGTAGCATGGCACGGGCTTCTGTAGCTTCTGATGAATCTTTAACAACTCCTGATGCTACAGGTAAACTATATTTTTATTTTCATTATATAATTATTATCCTGATTGAATTTTTCAATATGTGTGATACACAATTATCCCATTATCCCTAAGACCTATCTCATAAGACTTATTTCATAAAACTTTTATCATAAAACCTATATCATAAAACCTATATCATAAGAC